TTTTAGTTCTGAAGATAAAAATAACTTTTTATTTTGACTGAATTTTCAGTATTTCTTTAGATAACTTTTTAATGAATTCCTGTTTATAGTAGTTGATCTAAGCAATCTTACAATTACCCAAAAAAGACTTTCAATAGAGGCTTTATATCACATCTGAAAATTCAGGGGGAACCTATAATTCTGAGATTCTTTCATTGACAGTTGCTGAGAACCACCACTAACTGTTAATTTCTGAATAGTTGTCATATTTATTAATACAAAAGCTTCTAGAGAGTAACAATGACCTCTCTTTTGTAAAGGTTTAAGGTGGCATCAGGTATATAGTAAATAACATAGAGAACTTATAAAAAGAGGAATACATTCATATCATTTCATATTACCTATATCAGGTAATGGTCCATCCACCCCGGGGTCTTATATCTAGAAGAAATATCAAAATATGGCATGGTAAGACTGAACTTCCATCCTTGATGCCAATTACAAACATACCAAGCCTTTCAGTATTTACTCTTTGTTATAAAATAATGTTGCAGATTACATATGCTTTATACCAGTAATACAGCAAGAGAAGGAATTATTCCTAAATAGACCTCTAAAGTTTGCAATACTTTTTTAAAACTGTCTTTTTTTTCTTGATGTGAGTATTGAAGCAAGCATTATAAATCATAAATGGTGATGGAAACAAATGTGATTTATTCTGGGAAGTCCTCTTTAGTAGTCTGGTGAATAATTTGCATATGAGAAAGGCTGGTTTTTCCTGGAACTGTGTTCCTGAATGTTCTTCCAGATCTACTTTCTCACCACTTTCCTATTTATAGTTCTGGTCATAGTATTACTGTTATGAGAAGAATGCATATTTTAATTCAAATATAGTTAGACTTCAGTATGTTTGCCTTTCATTCTCATTGTGCATCACCAATATAACCAGAGCAATTGTGTGCTATTTATATTTCCATGATCTGATGGGGTGAGTTTTACCCTGCTTTTGGGAATTGCACAAACCCTCCATTCGGAAATGGGTTTATTATTGCCGACTGAGTATTGCCTTTGTATCTTACTGCAGATGTGTGCAAGAGGGGAGATGTGACTGTGAAGCCTTCCCACGTAATTTCACTTGGATCAGCTGTCAATATTTCATGCTCTCTGAAGCCCAAACAAGGCTGCTCGCACTACTCCAGTCTGAACAAGTTAATCCTCTACAAGTTTGACAGAAGAGTCAGTTTTCACCACGGTCGCTCCCTCAGTTCTCAAGTCACAGATCTTCCCCTTGGCACCACCTTGTTTGTCTGCAAACTGTCCTGTATCAGTAGCGATGAGATTCGAATATGTGGAGCAGAAATCTCAGTTGGTGGTAAGCAATCTATTCTGAATTTCAAAAATTGGTGATCTTTTGGTATTTGTCATGTGTTAAGCAGAAATCCAAATACAGAACAGTGTTCTTTCTTTTCTGACCACAGAAGTATTTTTATCCTGATAGCAACATGAGTACCTCAATGTGAGAAATCCATAATTAATAGAATTGGGATGTTCTTTAGAATATCTCTCTCTCACACACACACACACACACACACATACACACACACCATTAAAACCATTCATCTGTTGTCCTTGGTCTCCAATGGCAGGAAAATGTATCTCTGCAGTTGGGTCTTCATGCATTTTTGACTTCAGAGAATTTGTTCAAAGCTACACCTTCCTAAAAAGAAGAAAGAGATGTATTTTTTTTTTTAATTATGCAGCCCAGGATGACTACACAAGGCTAAGCAGCAGCACCTCTCCCCCTCCCTAACTTAATGCACAAAAAATAGTTCTTCTGGCCGGATGCGGTGGCTCATGCCTGTTATCCTAGCACTGTGGAAGGCTGAGGCACAAGGATCACTTGAGTTCAGTACTTCGAGACCAGCCTGAGCAAGAGCGAGACCCCGCCTCTACTAAAAATAGAAAAAAATTAGTGAGGCGTGGTGGCATACACCTGTAGTCCCAGCTACTCGGGAGGCTGAGGCAGGAGGATCGCTTGAGCCCAGGAGTTCGAGGTTGCTGTGAGATAGGCTGATGCCAGGGCACTTTACCCTGCGCAACAGAGTGAGACTCTGTCGCAATAATAATAATAATAATTCTTCCATCCACACTCACCCCAGACCGCTAGTTATCATGCTTAGCAGAGGTTAAAAGAAAACATTGACGATACTTATTATCTTTTCTTGGATTCTCTAGAAAATTGCCTGAAGTGAAACAGTCATGCTCACTCTTCATGGGGGAAGTTGTACAGTCCCAGGGAGGCGAGAGTGAGGGAATGAGCCAGGAAAGGGGCAAAAGCAAACACAAGATGGTAACATTACTGAGCCGGCCACAGCTTCAACAGAAAGTACAGCTGGTTGTTTGTTCACATAGGGACATTCCCAGAAAGGGCATGTGGAAATCCCATGACGGGAAAGAAAGAAGAATTTGGCTGTCTCAGGCAGGTGTACAGGGTGAACAAGCAGCACACCTGCAGTTTGCAACCTGCAGGTCCAGCCAGGCAAGCCAATGAGATGCATGGGGCCTGGGTGATTCCGTGGCCCCCTGAGCCTCAGTGGTTCCAGGGAAGCTCTGGGGTGACAGGCAAGAGGCATGAGGAGACTAGGACAAATTGCTGTAGCAGGCTGGCTGACCAAACTGTGGACATGCTCTCTATCATAAAGACAGTGATATAGAGCTCAACGAGACTCTTTCCAGGAAAGATGGACACTTCTTCTCTGTGACCTGTCAGGTTGGTGCCAGGCAGTTTTCCTAGAGGGCCACCAGGAGCATGGAGCAGAAGATCGAGCAAATGACTGATGGGGAGGAGGCATAACTAGGCCCGGGGCTCCTCTTCCAGCTCAGGGCCTCCTGTTCACACCACTTACGGGTCATGTTCTCTCAGCTTTGACAGCCCGTGGCCCAGCAGAAGGAGCCTAGACTTTAAATGCCAATCCTGCCACTAGCAGTGTATCCTTATACAACTTCAAATCTCTGAGCGTCAGTTTCTCCATCTGTGTTATGAAGAGAGTAACGTCTACCTCATAAGAGAGTTATAGTGACGCAGTGACCCTTCCTGTGGAAAGTGCTTAATCCAGTGCAAGGTGTAGAGGAGGCCTGGAAGTGATTAGCGCTAGAGTTGCAGTCCCATGCAGCTGTGCTTTTTCTTGGTGCATGTGTCATGCTGGGTAGCTGTGTGTGATTCCCTTAAAAAAAGTACAAATATTGGTTACAGACAGAATTAATTTTTTGCTTAAAAACACCATTGGTCTGTGCTTTCCTTGCCTTCAGAACACCTGACTATTTCACCCAGGTAATTCACCATTTTTGCAGACCAGTATTACATATTTGTATGAGACATTCTCAGCCCTGTGATATCCCCAGGTATCCATAGTACTACTGGAATTTTTTTCCTTTTCATAGACCAACAAGAGTCTTGGCAGTCAGTACCCTTGTAGATGTACCCAGCCATTCCGTTCCATTTCGTATCTGAGCTGTCATATATTACAGTGCTGCAACCCCTTTTCCTTTTTTTACTTTTCTATCAAGTGTATGTGGATGCATTTGTGGCAATTTGTAGCATCGAAAGATCTACGGAAGTGATGAAGAGTATCTGTCATGGTTCAGCTCAGTTAAGTTGGGTGGTGCTGCCAGAATGTTGCTTGCTCAATGTGCTCAATTGGTAACCACACAATCAAGTGGCTGTTCTTTGAGCAGGTTTAGCACATTTGAGATGAAGGACTAACTGGAAGCAACACCTTTTTCTGAGTATGGCTAGTCTTTCCAAGAAAAGACAGTGAATTTTGGTTTCACACAGTATAGTGAGCTCAATCCTATTTAGGGACGAAGTAAGTAGCTCATTTTCTTTTTTGCAGTAGATGGTGGTCCATAATACCATTGCCTATTTTGGGAGGGTCTGTCATAAAGGTGGCTGTTTTTTCAGAGCTGGGAATAGGCAAGTGGCCTTTAAGCCTTTTCTTCCTGACCCCTTCTCATGCTTGAGCTGCTCTGCTGCCCAGAGTTCATCCAAATTGTGTAGAAACTAAACAGCCAATGCGCTAGCTTAATCTCACAGGACTGATGCACAAACAGTTTAGAAAATCAAGGCAACAGGGAGGAGGGGATGAGTAAATTCACACTTGATGGGTACAGTGCATGCTGTCTGTGGGATGGGCACTCTTGTAGCTTTGACTTGGGCAGTGCAAAGGCAATTTGTGTGACCAACGCATTTGTACCCCTTTGATATTCTGAAATAAAAAAATAAAAAAATTCAATTGATCAAAAAATAAAATCAAATCTGTAGTGCTTCAAAAAAAATCAAGGCAATAAATGAAAGACATTGGATTCTCGCTTGGCCGTTTTCATAAATACATGCTTAGGCTGTTGATATTTCTGAAAATGATTTATCCAAGACTTTTTACTTCCAATAATAATAAGTAGGGCTTTTAAAACAATAACGACCATAATACTCATAACAATGTCTTATTTGTAAGTTATTTTAATTTTCAGAGGCTTTAATATCTGTTCTTTCCTTGGCATCAGCTATTGTACATTTGTATTGAGGAGAATTTTGCCTGGTTGTCCCCGGGACAGATAGTTTCTGCCAAAATTTAGTCCTAGCCTGAGCAAGAGCGAGACCCCATCTCTACTAAAAATAGAAAGAAATTAATTAGACAACTAAAAATATATAGAAAAAATTAGCCAGGCATGGTGGCGCATGCCTGTAGTCCCAGCTACTTGGGAGGCTGAGGCAGGAGGATCACTTGAGCCCAGGAGTTTGAGGTTGCTGTGAGCTAGGCTGACGCCACGGCACTCACTCTAGCCCGGGCAACACAGTGAGACTCTGTCTCAAAAAAAAAAAAAAAATTTAGTCCTGACCTGAAGGATATTTGGATTTCATGGTCCAGTGAGAAATCAGTTTTCACATCAAGAAAATTGCTTTGTTCCAGCTTAGGACAAAGGTGTACAAAAAATATTAAAAAAAAATAATAATAATAATAATAAAAAGAAAATTGCTTTGTGAGTGAAAGCTGTGGTCTTTAAAATGAGAGTTTCTGTGAACCTTTAGGAATAAAGGTGGGATTAAACTAACTTTTTCATTATATAAAAGTTCCAGTTTCTTTATATTAATATCTCATTTGCTCATCAAAAGACTCTACAATGGCTTTTGAGTAAAGACGGTGGATTGAACACATATATTAATTAATACTTTCATTCCCCCTGAAATAAAGTCAAGATGAAATTTTTAAAAAAAGTGTTCAAGGGGCACAAACCCTCCAGGACAAAAAGAGTGGGAGGGAAGACAAATCAACAAAATTTGGGAAGCTAGTGAGAAAAGTCAAGTTGCAGCCTGACTTAATGCAGAAGCTGTCTCCCCAGAAAGACTCAGAAACTGGCGCCACCTCTGGGAGTGAGGGTAACAGTGGGACTGACATGGGAGATGTGATTGAAAGGCTGTTTCAAGAAGCAGCTAAGAGTCTTAGATCCCTTCCTAGTGCCATGAAGCCAGACAGTCACTGCTCCAGCACTCTGACGCAAGCCTTGGTATCCGAGGGCTTCAGGGCGAGGAGACACCTGCTCAGCTGGGGTTGGCGGTGCTGCACTGAAAAACAGAGCAATTAAAGGAACATTTACATACAGCGCTCTTCAATCCACACTTTCCTCCAGGCAGATTGAAAAATCCTTTTGTAAGAAATCTGACCAGGGCAAAAGAAAATATCTAAAAATGTTGACAACAGGTCTCCTCCCTCCCCGGCCAAAACCTAGCCAGGTCACCCTGGGTTGAAACCCAGAGTCAGCAAGTGCCTCCCAACTGACACACACACAGAGCCCCAATCTATAATTTAGTGCCCCACTCCTATATATGAGTAAAAATACAAGGACCTGAGGAAAATGTCTAACATGAAGGACAGACACCAAAACAAACATATAGAACAAAATATATAAGAAAAGTGGAGGAAATAGGGTGTTCAGGGAGAAGCAGAATTAATTTTTTGCTTAAAAACACCATTGGTCTGTGCTTT